TTTTTCAGACAGGGTCTCCCTGTAGCCCCAGCTATCCTGGAACTCACTATGTAGACCAGGCTGGCCTTGAACTCACAGAGATCCACCTGCCTCTGCCTCCCGATCCTGGGACTATAGGCGTATGCCACCATGCCCAGCGAAGTTGAGGAATTTTTAAAATCTAATTAAGGGAAATTGTGGAAGCGTCAGAGAACTTGCATGTCAGAAGCATACTTTTTTTCCTTTCTGGAGACTTTGGATAAGCAACCATTCCCCAGATGCCTGCGAACAAACAGGCATTGTTAAGGAAGTATTATTCTATTGTTAATAGAAGTATACTTCTATCCATAAGCAAGTAAGGCCCAGACTGCCAAAGACACAGGTTTAGTTCTGGAAAGTGGTATAAAATAACAGCATATGCATGAATTCAACATAAAATAAAAACATTACAGTCAATGGCAGAATCAAAATCCAATTGTAGGGTTCCCAAAGTCTCCAGATCAAAGTAAGTAACAACTTGTGATACTACCATGGTTATCTGAGAATCACTTCAGTTGGTCTTGCCTCAAAGCTATTTTTTTTTTTTTAATGCAGGCAAAACATTCTCACAGAAGCAATACTCAAACTGGATCTTCTTTTAAAGGTTTGATGAGCACTTAAAAAGATTAAGAATAGACATCAAACCATATTAAGAAAATTGAGCAGAGTTGTGGCCAAGACTTTAGGCAAAAACACGTTAGTTACTCCATGAATTCTCAGCCAGTTGCCCTCACAGAGATGATTAAGGAGGACTGCTCTGACTTCACATTTCAAAAAGAGGAACGGCACACTTAGGAAACCAGACCCTGCAAAAGCAGAAGCTAGTGCTCAGGGCTGGACCAGCCCAAGGTGGTTCTCCCTCCCCCAGGCCAGTAACAGCTGATCCTCTCTGACTTCTCTAACTCAGTTCCCACACAGGAAATGGCATTGGTGTGCTAGCTCACTAACCAAAACTGAAGGCAGCCTTGAGAAACTGGAACAAAGAACAGTTCAGTGGAGAGCAGCTGGTTTCAGATACTCCCAAATCAGTTCCCAAAGATAATGGTCGATTTTTTAAAAAGAGAAAGTGAAAGGGTGGAGAGGGAGGGAGGTGAGAAAGGGGAGGGGGGAGCGGGAAGGGGAGGGAGGAGGGAGGGAATATTGAGAACTGCAGCTCCCCTCTTCATCTTCCCTAGTATAACTGGTCCTGAAATAAAGAGCTCTGTCTTAGGCCCACCCAGTTATGTTACTGTGTTATATTATTGATCATAGCATATTCATAAGATTACTTCTAAAGCTGTTCTTTCTTTTTCTTTTATAAAATACCCAGATATTTATTTTGTGGAATAATACCTTTCTTTTTTCCTTTTTTAATTGAATTTTTACAATTTTCATAATAATATAACTTGATGGTATTTAGATCCCCTCCCTTGTATCCACCTCCCTGTATTGCCCTCCTCCCCCGTTCAATTTAATGTACTCTCTATATATATAAAATAAGACCTGTAGAGTCTAGTTTATGTCTCCAAATGTCCTTCAGTGTGGGTCCATACACTGGAGCCTCGTTAGCCTGTTTATTCTTCAGGCCTTCTTTTTTCACAACTAAACAATAAATTATTCTGAGGTTGGACTCTTGCTTTATGCCCAGAACCTCAACATCACAACCCCTTGTAAGGAATTGCTTACTAGAACCAGTAACTAGAACAGAAGAGCTTCACTGGGATTCTCTACATAAAAGACTCAGCTTGTCGAGATTCTTGTTGATGAAAGTCTTCCTCTAAATTTTGTCCAGCTGCCAATACTTCTGCTTACTCTCAGGTTTTGATATATCAAAATTATTTTGCCTTTACTTGTACAATCCATCTACTTAAAACTATAACAATACTATCAGTAAAAGAACTCACCAAGTTTGATAGTAGACATTAATCACACTTTTGCTACCAGATGGCTTATGTGATACAACTAAAAAATAAAATTAAGAACCACAGTGTTCTCACATTACAGAGATAATATACTTTGTAACATAATTTATGAGTCACAGAAGGTTTTCCTTGATCTTAAAAAGATTTAATCAAGAGCCTTTAATCTCAAAGCTCAGGAGGCAGAGACAGGTGGATCTCTGTGAAATTGAGGCCAGCCTGCTCTACATAGCTGGTTCCAGGACAGCCAGAGCTACACATTGAGACCCTATCTCAAAAACAAAGGAACAAACAGAAAATATTTACTCAAGACTCAATTAATGTTTACTAACGATTGTGGCAATAGCCATAAAAGTCATAATGAGAGCTGGCTGTGATGGCACATGCCACTTTGGGAGGTAGAGGAAGCAAGATCAGCGTCACCTACAGAGTTACTTCAAGGCCAACCTGGGCTACAACAGACTCTCTCAACAACAAAAAAATCATAATGATAAATGCTAACATACATTGAGCATCTACTAAATATCTGACATTGTAGACTTATGAGCACTATATTTAATATATCTCTCAATAATTGAGATATATGACATAATATCCCAGTCAGCTGAAATTTAAAACTATGCATGTAAAAACTTTTTTCTACAAAACAAAAATATAAAAAGTGTGTTTCTTTAGATGGGCAAGTGAGGGTTTTCAAAGGCCAACTTTTTGTGGGGGCATTGAAATCTGCATCTGAACAATAAACTTTTAGTTTCTTTTGAGAGGATATACATCCCCTAAATATATTAATTCAAATCAGTTATATTATCTTTTTAATGATAGAGCAGGCCACTTTAGTTTCTATGTTACAAAAAATTTATTTCCAGTATATCAACCCTCTAAATAGTTTCTTAGACTTACTATTTATGAAAAAAAGCAAAATATTATGGCCAATGAATAGGCTAGAGACTAATAACATGTTTATTGGTGGAAGATCTCTCTAATTGCAGTATATATCTTGATTATTATACTTAAAGGG